TATAGGTGTCAGATTTTCGTGGAAGATGTAGGCACGGAATTTTCTTCTGGCGTAAATTCGCCGAATTGACCTCAGAGTCAGACGCACATGAAATGTTCGGCTTGCAGCAGCAGGATCAAGGGTCGCTATTTTGTCGAATACGTGGTGCCAGTGGGCAACCGTAAGCTCGTGGATTCTAATTCTTTCAGGAGCCCGACGTTGTGTCTTTGGGAAAGAAACTTTACACGGATTTTCTTAATTTCACCCACGTGGGAATGGGTACCCAGCTATAGGCAGCGAAAAATCTTGTCAGTTAGTTAGTGTTTGTTAATCAGCTGCTTGCACTATAAAGCGCGTGATAGAACTTGCTGTCGAACAGGGAAATGTGCTATATAAAGATTATTAACATTATCATCATTATTATTAAGTAGCCTTACTTACGACAGCTCACTGAGCGGATGAAAGTTTTATTAGCCTACGTGTATTATGATGATCATCATCATTATTAACATTATTGTCATCCTCAGTATCATCCTTGTCATCATCACACCACCACACTCCATTGTATCATCAATGGCAAAGAAAGAACACTGACAACTGCAACAAGAATAAGAATACACTGTCATTGTTATAGTAGTATGCATAATGTAGATCTATAATGTATTAGGCCTACATGTATTATGTAACTCATGTATGACATGAAAATGTTGGTTCTTGAAAAAAGGGGAGGCAAATACACAAGTTAAAAAATAGCGTGAAATAAATCGAGAGTTCCATTTCGTAGTTCCACATTCACTTCCGGGTGAAAAGCCATAGAGGTCTTCCCAAAAATTCATTATAAAAATAAATCATTTCTGACTCATATTTACCTGTGCCTGCAGTGTGAGCACGGATCTTTCTTCGTTTCAGGTAAATTATGAAACCTCAATAGCAACTCGTAGAGAACATTTCTGTTTACATGAATAACAAATAAAGCTTTTACAGTCTTCTTTTGATTTAGGTTCATGAACTGACATGTATCAAGACTAAGACCAAGTCCAAGTTCAAGACTTATCAATCCATCAACAGGATGATAACGAAACCGGGGTAGTGTGGTACTGTGGTGCCAGACAGAGAGGAACTTGATTCCTGACACGATATACACTAATAATGCTTGATGAGCCAGCCTAGATGCTTTATTTATTCATTGTGCAATTGCTCTTGTTTGTAGTAGATGCACACACTAGTAAGAGGCCTATTTGTTTACCTTCTCACGTTTAATTCCGGGGGAGGACTTCAGTAGCGAGCAACCGCTCTGAACTCTAATGACTCTATGAAAATTATACTATACTCAATGGCCATCAAAATCAGTACAGAAGGCCTAAAGTTTAAGCCAGGATATCTAAATCTACCCTCAAATGATTACTCCATCGCAGAGTTTTGAATATATCCAGTCGGGGATGCATGATAGAGTTTCATCTGGATCGAGGCGCGGCCGGAATTTAACACGAGAAAGTAAACAATTGCCAAGTTTCTTAATTCTACAAGTACAAGTGTACTATAGCCTATAATAATTAGGAGGGTAAAAGACAGTACCGTGCCACACAATCATACCTGTCTCTAGATCTAGATACGACACATCTCTATCACTTTTACATTCCAGCCTGTTTGAAATCTGAAATCAAATCTTTTGTTCCCACTCTTTGGGTGGATTTGGTTCCCTAATGGAGGAGAAATTCTGAAGATTGATGAGTAATCTGATCTTATATTGGAGATAATATTTTAGGCAGTTTTGAATCAACTTTTATTTTTTGAAAATAGATGTCATCAAAGCCCATGGAACATGGACATGTAGCCTAAATATTCATACAAAGTGACTATTTCTCCAAACGCTCGGGAAAATAAACTTGACCTCTATTTCTTCAAACGGTTTCCGTCTTCGAGTTTTTTAAAATGTCATTTGTGAGAATTCGGGTTCATAGAATCTTTCATTCTGCCATTCTGCGAGGACTGGGAAGAGGCATTTTTTGCATCGAATTCAATTTCTAGAGCTAGAGATTTTTAAATTTCTGAATATTCTGATACTTCAATTGTGGTTGGGGTGACGTTCCCAGACTACAGTTCATTTGAAAAAAAAAGCCTTCAAAAGGTACTGCAAGAAAACAAGACTGCTCGACTTTGGGAGTTTAACATTTTGCATTTAGTCGCCCCTGAAGCAAAAACTAAAAGAAAATAAAAAAATAACTCCATGCCCCCAAGCCCTCCCCCCTCCTGTCCCCCGTTCACACCTTACACACACACACACACACAGACACACTCACACGCACACCCACACACACACACCAAGCACACTCAATACACACACACACTCACACTCACTCACTCACACACACACACACACACACACACACACACACACACACACACACACACACACACACACAGGCCACTCCATTCGCAAATAATACAAAAATCTGGAGAACAGAAACCGTTCGGAGAAATAGAGTTTATTTTCCCGAACTTTCAGAGAAATAGAGCCTCCTGCAAATCTCCTGCTTTTAGCTAGATTCATCTTGTCTTTATCTTGCCATCTAAATCTGATACATTGTGCTGAAGTGGGAGAGTGAGTTTGTTATTTGTAATATAATGAGTATCATGAGAGAAATGTTTTATTATGTGAGGCATCTTGGTGAAATCAGGCGTTCGTCAAAATAATGAAATCGAAGAAACTGGCATTTTTCTGTCTGTTTGGCAATTTTCATCGAATTTTTGTTTTTGACTCAACAGTTTTCACTTTAAGGTCCATTTAAAAACACATTTCTGTGTGTATTTTACTGAACAATGTTGATTTAAAGCACAAAAATTTTAATTTGCAGTTTCTAAGGACTCTCAAGCTTTGGAAGTCGCCAAACTTTGCTGGCCATTAAACCAGGCGACCCCTACCAATCGCAAATATCTCAATTTCTTCTATTCAAGATAGATGATGAGTATTTTTTTTTCACCAAAAGCAAGACAAATGAAAAAGTAATGATACTAATAATTCCACATGTAAAAAAATTGATGAGTGCCTGAATCCACGGCGTCGTGACACATATTATAAAAACACTTTCCTAGAATGAAAGGGAAGGGGTGTTGTAGGAAAATAGTGGGCATAATATTTTAAAAAATAGCCTGTCTACCTATTTTTAATGAAACAACATAAATGCCATCAAAATGATTTCTTGGAAAGTTGGCAGTTTTTTTTAAATTTTTTTTTCGGTCAGTTTGAATTTGAATTTGTTTTGTTACTTCCTTTGCTTCGCTTACTATGTTTTCTGCCATATTAAATGTTGAAAAGTTTGTAAGTGTTTGTGTGTGTGTGAGTGTGCATGCGTATGTGTGTGTGTGTGTGTGCGTGTGAATAAGTTGAAACTGAGGTACAAAGTAAATTCTTGATCAACATCTTTGAAAATCGTCTTGTAAGGAATCCTATGGGAGAGAAAAGGATGGAATCACAGAAGTTCATGTTATGATACTGACAGGTTTTTGCCTTGCTAGGTTTCTGTTTCGAAAAGTTTTTTGTAATTGTAATGATAGGGTTCTTCTTTAAGACTGGTTCAGTATTCAATTCATTAAAAAGTTGTTGCAAACGGAACTTTGAAATTATGAATTTGACTGGTTTCCTCCTTGACAGTTGAACAGAATCGGAAAGAATTTGTAGTGAGTTGTTGTGTCTGGTTTGTTTCTTCATTTTATCTGATATTGATCAGAACAGTCACGGTTTCCTGCTCTTGTGTGCTTTGTTTAACCGAGCTCTTGTTCTGTATTGGCGTGAGAAAAGTGAGTTTTCAGATTGTTACTTTCTGAAACTAGTCGTTGAGGCAGCAGTTCTAGTTCTAGTTCTTCCTTGAACTAATGAACTAACCCTGACTTAACGCCAATCATCTCAGGAATGAAAATGGATACTTCATGCCTGTATATATATATATATATTTATTTATTTATTTATTTATTATAAATGTTTGGGTGATCATTTTTTGTTATTGTCTAACATTTAGTGAAGATTTCTATTGTAAGTTTGTTTTATGATTCTGTGTAGTTAGTCATACATTTTAAAACACTTTCAAGTTTTTAAAAGTTCAATTGTTTGTCTTCCTTAGAAATTCCAACGCACAGCTTTCCTGGTGAGATTGTGTCACAAATCGCTCACTAAGGTTCTGTTGTGGAGGCTAAATGATTCACAATGCCGGCGGGAAATCTTAACGTCAATGAATCTGATGTCGTGAAACTCGTCGCTGAGTTCCTTCAGAACAGGACTCTCAACATTTCCATGCTGTCAGTGGAACGAGAGACAGGTGTGATCAATGGAATGTTCTCTGATGACATGCTGTTCCTGCGACAGCTCATCTTGGACGGCCAGTGGGATGATGTCATCGACTTTATCCAGCCTCTCATCTCCATAGAGACCTTTGACAGGTGAGCAATTAACCCCCGCCATTCTGTTTGTCTCTGTCTCTTTGTCTTGCTGCCTTTTTGCAGGTCAGTTCATCTGTCTCACTGTCTGTCTGTCTCTCTCTGCGTGTGTCTCTCGTTCTTTCTCTCTCTCCCTCACACACACACACACACACACACACACACACACACACACACACACACACACACACACTCACACACACACACACACACACTCACATACACACACACACAAACACACACACTCACATACACACACACACAAACACACACACACATACACACAGGTGATTGGTTTTACTTCTTTTCTTTCTCTGTGTTGTTTCTATCTGTCTGTCTGTCTCACAATTCCAAGCTGTTGGTTGGTGGGATCTCTTGAATGGTTTTCTTTTTCTTTAAATTCTATCGAACATCTATCATCCTTATCTGTCCTCCTTCTTTTCATCATGTGTGTTTCTCTAATCTTAAAGTTCTAATCTTTGGCACTTGTACAACATATCATATTTGTTGTGTTACAAGTGCTATAAGACTCGTACAAAAGCAAACTACTCTTCCCTGGGGTAAATGACTGTTATTATGTCAATGAGCTTCTTTTTTTTACTCAAACAACCAAACATGGGTGATTGGCAGATGTTCCGGTGTGGTTTGCTCCTTTTTTTTTCTGTCAAACATCTATCGTCTTTACCTCTCCTCCTTCTTTTTGTGTTTGTTACTCTCTTGTAACACCTCTAATCTTCAGCCTTTGTTTGGCCTAATTGTGTTGCAAGTACCGTAAAGCTCTTACGAAAACAATAAAACAAACTAATAAATAAACAGGTGGAGCCCCTCCTGCGATCCTACCTACCTATTGAGAAGAAGGACGAAGAGAAGAACCAAATGTCTTGCAACGACCGTCTGATGCAGCTGGTGCTGAAGGGGATGCTGTATGAGTCATGTGTAGACTACTGTCAGTCTCAGGTCAGTGTGTGTGTGTGTGTTTGTGTGTGTGTGTGTATGTGTGTGTGAATGTATGTGTGTGTGTGTGCGTGCGTGTGTATCACTGAATGTATGTACTGGTACACATTGCACGTGCTTAGGGGTATATGTTGACTACTGGTACTGTCACTACTGTCAGTCTTTGGTAAGTGCGCGTGTGTCAGTGTCTGTGCCATGGAGTGGTTGAATAGGGCCTATTGGTAAGTTTCACTCTCTTGACTCTCCTCTGTTGTTTCTGTCTTCCTTTAACACAGTAACGAGGGCTTATTATTATAGTTATAGTGAAATACCCTGAAATAACGCACCAGTTTTAATTTTTTATAAACCTTGGCAGCCCAAGAAACATGCTTTAAATGTTCACAGAGGTTCATAAACCATTCTGCTATCATATAGAGTAACTTCCTTTGAAACTTACTTGAGTGTCCATCTTTTGTTGTTTAATTATGTTAAGTGTGCCTGGTTGCGTCGGCGTCTAAAGTCGCCAGCGGTAGTGAGCGCCTGTTACGACCTGTAAGTGTTGATCAGAATTGATTGACCTCATGTATTGTTGTGTTGATGATGTGCTTCCCTCTTCAGTCAAACTAACAAACGAATAATAGATTACTTTTATCGTGTTGATGTCGAAGTACTTTTCTTTTCTTTGAGCCAAAGTCAGTGAATTGGACATTGCTCAAGAACTGGTCAGTGATTGTACTGTTGATTATGAACCAACATGTGCCTCTGCTCAAGAACTGGTCAGTGATTGTACTGTTGATTATGAACCAATCTGTGCCTCCACTGACACACCCCCCCCCCCCCCCCCCCGATGTGGTCTGCTCCTTCTCGCCTCTCGTCTTTATCTTTTGTCCTTTTTTGTGTTTGTTACTTTCTTGTAATACCTCTAATTTTAATTGTTGTCACGTATGTGACCTAATTGTCTTGCAAATGCTGTAAAACACTAAAATAAAATAAACTTGCAGGCAACTGGTGGCCAGAACGGCTTCACCTACGCCCGTCTCCTCAATGATACGGGGTTCAGCGACGCAGACCTCTCCCTCCTGGCCTGGCTCCAGTGTATTCCCTTTGAGGTCTTCTCTTGCCCCTTTGAGCAGAAGGCCGTCAGTGTGGACATCCAGCCGCTGGTCAAGCCCTCCCTGGAGGCCTCCTGGTCAGAGCAGATCCTAGTGACCCCCATCAAGCCCAAGATGTTCCCTCACACAGCCGTTCCTACGGCCCGCCCCCGCTCCGCTGAGCTCATGACCCGCTCGCTTAACCCACAGTTTGATGGGCTGTCCAGTGGGCTTTTGCAGGGTAGGTTGATAATGCTCACTCTGTGTTCTACTTGTTGTGTGAGTTAGTTTGCTTAAGGTACACCACGGCAGCCTAAAAAGTTGATTTTGGTATCCAAAACCGATTTTTCGATTTTGGACTATTTTAGTAGAGCAACATCTGCTTTATCGATTGGAAATATTTTCAAGTGTCCAAAACATCTATAAAGTGCTCACATATGCCATGTATTTTAACATTGTGTGGTAATAGAATGGTATGAATTCGTGTTTTTTAAAGTTTTCTAAAAACTATGATTTTCTTAGGGGGGTGGGTCACCTTGGCAGAGATATTTTTAAAAGTACTCGTCGCAGCGGAATCCAACTTTGCATGACTGTTTCTAGATAATATGTTTGCAACGTACTAAAAGATTATTGTGATATTGTAATGGGTGACCTTATTTGGGCCACAGTGTGGCCTAAATAAGCTAAACCCCCCTCCCTTACCTTATTTAGGCCACACTGTGGCCCAAATAAGCTAAACCCCCCCTCCCTTACCTTATTTAGGCCACATCATATGGTAGATTTCTTGAACTAACCATGGATTCGGAAGGTCGAGATTCTACTGATCTTTTTATTTAGTGCGGGGGATTATTTCAAAATAGAGGATGATTCTAAATAAGTGGACCAAGTGTAAGAGTTGTGTGTGTGTGTGTGTATGTGTTTGTTTTGTGTGTGGTTGTGGTGAGAGAGAGAGAGAGAGAGAGAGAGAGTAAATGTAGTAGTGTGTTTGTATGTGTATGTGTAATGTGTGAATGTTATTGTGTGCATGAGTGTCTATCTCAGTTGTACGGTCCAAATGTACATTATTTTGTTGAGAATTTTACATAGAACTCAACTACAAAACACCTTTATACAAAGTCACAGAAATATTCTTTTTGTGCTTATTGAGGTGCAGTACAGGGTGATTAAAACCTGCAAGGATAATTGGACAAAATGGGCAATATCTTACTAATGGTCATATTTAGACAAATCCTATATCATTCTCTTTTTTTCTTAACAGCTCATGGTTATTAAAGAGTCAGCAAACTAGATCAAGGTAGTAATTTCGGATTCCTAATATTATGGGCATTCTTTAAAAAATTTAAACTTGTTTTTAGCGCTTTTTTCAACGTAAAACGGATTCCGTTAAAAAAACAACAACAACAATGACCGTATCTTTCTTTTTTAAGGTATTGTGCATACATTTGTGTGAAACTATTTTATTCTATGCTTTCAAGTACATGAAAAAAGCTAATAAAATCAAGCAAAATGTTCTTCAGAGACATAGATCTAGTAGTAAGCCCACTGGAACATTTTATAAACCGTGAAAAGATCACCAGAAAATAACAAAATTATCTTATGATTTTCACTTGCACTTGCAATTTTTTTGGACAAATTATCGTCTACCTCGTTATCTTTTTTTTTCACATTTTTCTTCACTATTCATGACAACTGGCATGTTTTCCAGTTATTATCAAGGAAGTGGATAGGCGGACCACGGGGTCTATCTAGCCCCAAAAGGATAGGTGGACCGCGGGGTCTACCTAACAAAATGCTGTTTTAGGATGTGAACCCTGGAATCAGCGTAGTGAAATAAGTAGATCTAGGTTTGACTAAGGATCGGTGGACCCCGGGGTCAACATAGTGAAATAAGTAGATCTCAGTTTATTTTATAGTAAGACTGGCGGAGCCCGTGGTCAACGTAGTGAAATTATAAGTAGATCTAGGTTTAAATTAATAAGGATTGGTGGACCCCTGGGTCAACGTAGTGAAATTATAAGTTGATCTAGGTTTAATTAAGGTTTGGTGGACCCTGGGGTCAACGTAGTGAAATAAGTACATGTAGATCTAGGTTTAATTTTAAGGATTGGTGGACCCAGGAGTCAACGTAGTGAAATAGGAAGGTTTAGGTTTAAGGTGGACCCCAGGGTCTACCTAACGAAATTTAATACTAGTTAGGTTTTAGAATAGGTGGACCATGCGGTCACCGTAGTAAAATAAGTTGGTTTAATCACGGTGTCCCGGGGGTCCACCAATTCTTAATTAAACCTTCTTATTCCTTTACGGCTATGGTGACTCCGGGGTCCACCAATCCTTTTAAAATTAAACCTACTTATTTCACTACGGTGACCCCGGGGTCTACTAATCTTTAAATAAATCTACTTACATGTATTTCACTACGGTGACCCCGGGGTCCACCTGTCCTAAAACCTAGTATTTTGCTAGGTAGACCCCGTTTTTAACAATATCCAGAAAATAACATAAAATGAGTATATAGATCTATATCTATACGTATTTTATTAAGTATATACTTAAAAATAAAAGACTGAGCAGAGGCTTACAATGTAAATTCTGTGCTCTACACGTAGAGAAAGTCTTAAGTTTGCGCAAAACAGATTTTAGAAAAAAAGTTGATCTAATTATTCTAATAAAAGTAAAAGTGATTGTTATGGTGAGATTTGTTATTATTAATTCTGGAAATACAGATAGTTGCTGAATCTAAAATTAACTAGAACTGTGCAATTCGTTTTATTTCAATTCCAAAGCCCAAAGGCATAGCAATGAGTTAGATCTAGATCTAGCAGTTGTAGGCTCTCTGGCTGCTTCTAACATTTGTCTGCTACTACTGATTCTAGACAGGGAATCTAGATCTAGATCTAGCTATCACCTGCACTATTAAAGTCAAATATATGGTAAAATAAAAACAAAACTGTGAATCGCTTTGTCAGTCAGTACATCCCAATTGCCATAGCAGCACGTATTAATAGTTGAATAATTATACCGAAGCAACATGTTATCACAGTGTGCAGGGGAGAGCGGGGTGCCCGGGTCGCTGACCGGTCGATTCGGTGGTTCGGCTTTTGTAGATCTATGCATTTTTTACGGAAAGCCCTATTACTAGATCTATTAGTGTTGTGAAAACTTCAACCTCTACAGCTAAGGCGGCAAAAGATGTTGGAAAATAATAATACGTCCTGAAGTTTCATAATTTATACAGAATAATACAGCCAGTAGTTTTTATCTCATCGAGTTATAAAAATGGCCTTGTAACTTGTTTTCAGAAGCAAATTTTAATAGTTACAGTTCTACCGAATCGATTTTCACGCAAATTCAACCATTTTGATGACCATTTCTTTTCCTTTTAAAAAGATAAAGGCCTGTCGGATGTGGCAGTGCGATTAACACTAAGTTGTTTAGACCCATCAAAACACAAGGCTTCGTGGCCGATCACAAAGGTCTACGGGCTTATCGAGGCCGATTCGCCCTGCCGAGTGCACGTTCACTAAACTGCCTACTAGATAGAATCTACTACCAAAGATTCTTCTCGATCTTTGCTACTACTACTACTACTACTACATCTACATGTAGGCTACTACTACTAGACAGTACGAGAGATGTACTACTACGAGACAGTACGAGAGAGTGCCACCCAGGCAAAGATAGTGTAACTTTGACTCAGCCACGTTGTGTACACACTTTTTATACCCCAAATTTGACCCGGAAGTCCATTCGGAGGATTTGACCTTTTTACTTGACCAAAGTGTGCCAAAATGGTAGCCTAGATTTTGCCCCTCCATGAAGGAAAAATCTGGCCCTCATTCAAGCCATTGAGATTGAGCAAAACTTTGCGTATCGTGCTTTGTTCTTACAATATTCATTATGATATATATAAGTTGTACACTGAGACAAAACTGTACTAAATGAGAAAGGTGCACCATTATGAAAGTGGAACGAACTCAGTTGCCTTAAAAGGGTGTCCCCTGGTAGTTTGAGCATGTGTGGCCTAAATAAGCTAAACCCTCCTCCCTTACCTTATTTAGGCCATATGTGGCCCAAATAAGCACTCCCTATTGTAATATGTCTTCCGTCAGTGTTAAAAAGATTGGCAGTATAACTCTGATTTGTGATCATGTTTTTGTCCAAGTATCGTATATGACACTAAAAGGGCAGTTACAAGAAAAGTATGAGACTTAGGAAAGTAAATCTTTAGTACGTTGCAGGCTGTATATACACACACTCTGTGTGACAATATCAAGGCTGTATCAATTCAATCTTTTTCAGAATCCCTGCCAACAATTTGCGCGAATTTTGGTCTGTCGAACCCTTTGCATCTAAAAAATTCAAAAAATTGACAGTGAAATCATATAGGGATAGTGTGTTTCTGTTTCTTGACCCATACTGGTTATTGGGAATCCCAGTACACTTAATTTAGAGCCCAAACAAAAATTTTCATTTCAGCTGTACCTAGTTCACCTTAAGAGCATGAAGCGTGTTTGAAGGGTATCAGTATCACTAGCGGATTTTTATTATTCTCCCACTTTTGTTACTGCTGACTGAATGATCCTGCTTTTTTTTTCTATGATCACTAAAAGACCATTATTGTGTTGATGTGCTACTCTTTACACAAATTAACAGAGGAATCCCAGGTACAAGTTCAGTAACTGAGGATGTAATGTTGCCTTTATAACTCACTTGCGACTGGGCCCTTTCACCAGTCACAAGCGTTGAAGACTGGCGTTTTTGGGGGTATTTCAACAAATCACCACAACTCTCAGAATTACCCTATTGTAATCATTTTTTGACACAGTAAAGTAACATTCAAGCTTAAACTAATACAAAAAACTAAAGTTGTCTAAGTCTAATACTTTAATTTGTATGATTTTAAAAAAATTGGCATGAATTTGATTTTCCGAAAAATTTCCAGAGACGTGACAAGTAGAATGAAATTCACTGCAACAACAAAAATAAAAGTTCAAAGTGTTCTGGTTTTATTTATATACATGTGCGAGTGTTTGGTTAAAATATAAAAGCTGGTCTGTGCATTGATTCAGACCCATACACTGAATTACATGAGACAGATGTACGGCACGACGTTGTGATTTCGTTGCGCGAAAAACAACACCGGTACTAGTGCTAGATCTAGCCCTAGAACTACGACTCGGGCCGTGTTCGGGTACATATCCAGGATCCTAACAATTAGATACATCATATTCTGAGACACTAGAACTAGTAAAACGCACAAAAGTATAGAAAACGGCGAAATTATGTGATTCTTGTTCATGCGACTTCTTCGACCGTTACTACGACGCGACTGTCGGATTACTATCAGCTGTATAGAAAAAAACAAAGCGCGAGTTCCGGTCTGTTCAACCCCAGTTGGGGTCACTGTCCTTCACCTTCAATAACTTAAAAACTACCGGCCCCAGAGATACGAAACGAAGTCTAAGTAGCTCAGGCTTGGCCAAACAAGGGTACGAGGCGGGTCTCGCGATCTGTGCGTGATTTGTAGAGCGGAAAAAAAATTCCAAAGTTGGTCACGCAGGGCTTGTGAGACCCGTCGCGAGCGTCGCGGCGGGGGTCACGCAACTGTTGTGTGACCCGTCTGAAGTGAGATAATAGCACGTATCGCAAGTACAAAACAAGTTGGCTCTGTATGCTTTGAGCTTTCCAGTTATGATTACCCTTATTAAATGAACCCAGAAACATTCAGAAACAATATCAGCCTCCTGGGAAGTATTAGTTAGTGAGGACATGTGTGTTGACGGCGTGATCCGTTACTCTCAGGTATTAATTATTTATGATGGACCACTGCTGTCACTTCTGTAGTTCTTTGAATATGATGGTAGTGGGTGGTTGGAGGGTACCCCTGGTAGCTTTTCTCTCTCTGTTTCTTACTTTTTCTTTGAACGACAAGTGCTGTGTCCATATGCTTTGCTTTCATCATACAAATTATAAATGTTCATAAAAACAGGCTTGATATAGCCCACAATTCATTTCCCCACACAGGATATGAACTCCCTATCTTCTATGTGCAATGGTAGAGAGTCTAACCATCCAATCATTAATGCCACTACAGTGCCCAGTCATTTACAAATTTCAGACAGTGAGGGTTTTCATGGATTAGCTCACATTTTGTGTCATGTGCTAGTTTCAAAGGGAAGCCACCCTCTGTACACAATTGCATGCATTATTAGTGGGCGATATATTTTATGTCAAGGGATGGTGGCCTTTGCGTCTTGACAGAAGGTCTCCAAAAGCAGTGTGGATGCTTTGTTCTTGGGCGATGTCAAGGGAACTAATCCATTAATACATTTAATGTAAACCATTGCCTGGGCTATCTCATTCAGTTGTTTCTCTTTGACCATGGCCATTGATTTAGTTTCTTGAGGAAGTGGGAGCAGGAAAAGAGAAGAGAGGGTCTCGTCTATTAATTACTAGTTATAGTAATGATACTTTTTCTAGGATAAATCCAAAAAAACAGCATTTATTGAGTACCAGATAGGCATGAAATTGTCGCATGTGGAAGACCTGAAATTGATTCCTGTGTGGTGAGAATTCTTTCTAATTGAGTATAATATCGCAATCTTTCTGCTTGAACTTTTTAAAACTCACAGGAGACTGGGCCTTTTTCGGATCTACATCCACTGGAGACTGGCATTTTTGGGGGTATTTCAATGTTTTATACAACACCCCTCCCAAAGACATGCAACCACCATTTTTGCACATATAACAGCTAGCTTTAGTAGAGGTTTTTACAGCGCTCGCAACTGTATAAGGTCATATGAGCGCCAGAAGATTAGAGGTGTTACAAGAGAGTAACAAACATAAAAAAGAAGAAGGGGAGATAAGGACAATAGATGTTTGATAGGAAAGAAGAAGCAAACCACACCAGAGCACCCGCCAACCACCCACCCCACATATAACAAATCTAGACATGCCCAATAGGACACGAAAAACAGAACGGTAATATCTTTAAAGTTTATTGGTGTTGTCTTAAAACTTGTTCATTTGTTTTGAGTTTGATGGAAAATATACCCATTTATCTTCAATACAAGTCAAGATATTTGTAATTGAAGGAGGTGGGGGGTTGCCTGGTTTCAGAGGTAAAATTAGCGAGAAAATGGCTGCCAGAGTTTGGTTATTTCCATAGCTTTTGAGTCCGTGGAAACGGAAAATTTACATTTTTTTGGTACCTTAAAATAGACGTTTTTCAGTAATACCTACGTAGACATGTGTTTTTGAATAGATAGGATGTTGAGGCAAAGAAAAGAAATTCAATTAAAAATTGCCCAACTGCCTGTACAATGCTGCTTTCTTCTTTGATTTCATTATTTTGACAAGCCCCTGATTTCACCACCCGTCCTCACATTGTGTGATCATCTGTTCGTATTGTTCAGGCAAACGAGTGGAGTTTTCCAGCCCTTCAGGCCAGGCTGCCCTGTCCCAGTCCATGCTCCCAGGCCACTCCCCAAGCAGAGTTCGCGACCCCATGCTCATGTCTATGGACAAGCTCTTCTCGGAGGGCGAGGTCATTGATACCCATGCCTCCATCCCCGAGGAGCTGAAGGGGTCACCGAGGGCCAAGGTAAACTCTTCCAAGGTGAGAGATGGGAAGTGTTGGTGTGATTCTTTCTCTGTATGTGTGCGTGTTTGTGTGTGTACGTTATGTGCTTATATTACGTGTGAGCAGCTGGAGGGGTCACTGCAGGTCAAGGTAACCCCTTCAACTTCAAGGTGACACTGTGCGAGTGTGGCAGTCTTTATGATATGATGATACTGTGTGTGTGGGTGTGGGTGTGGGGAGGTGAGTGGGAGAGGGAGTAGATGAAAGGGTCAGTGTCACATTTAATTAAGACAAGATCAAAGAGTGTGATCCCTCATAACCCATAAGCCCCGCCCAGAACTCGTACACAAATCGTAAGTGAGATGAGTGGTCACTGTTTACCCAGTCTGTAACAAAGTAACAAAGGACGTTAACATGAACTTGTTACTGAAGCGCCCCTCGTTCTCCGAGTGGTGGCGACCCATGTGTTTGTTTTACTCCAGCACTCAAGTCTTCCTTAAGTCTGATACATTTCGTTTTATTGTCACCCTTGTGCAAAAGCAGCAACAAAATGAAAACTACAAATGAAATACAAAGCAACAAAAACAACAAAGACAACAACAATGGGTCTACTTTCGATTGGGGACTCAGATGGAAATGTTCTGTTTTCTTCATCTTGATCAGTCCTGCCTAAGACGGCCACCTGTCTTATACGGCCACTTTTCTCCTTGACAATGGGTGGCCGTCTTACACAGGTTTGACTGTATATATATATTACCTCTTTGGGCTAGATGCATCAGTAAATAAAGTAAATTAGACTTCTAAAAAATCTATTTCTATTGTCCCTGTTAAAAATGTTGTTGTGAATGGATTGTTGTTCTTTTAGTAGTGTGTTCGTGGACTTTTAAAGCAGAGTGTTTGGAGGATGCCATTAGTAGGTTCTACTTTTCAATTTTCCTTTTTTTGCTTCTGTCTATCAATCTTTTCCTGCACTAAGTGAGTGTTATTGTGTTGATGTATAGGCCTATTTACTCAAACAGACAAACATTCAGAGACCCTATCTCATTTCAAATCAAATTACATGTATCTCCATTTCTCTCTACCCTTCCAGCCGGGCAGTCCAGCACCTGCTAACCGCCCTGCCCCTGTGCGGTCATCGTCCCCGACTCGGAGTGGTTCCATTTCCTCGGAGAAGTCAGCAACAGGGGAGGGTGCCCCGCGGGGTTCTCAGGCTAGCAGTGCGAAGGACTCCAGTAATGAATTGTACAGAGAGTACCAGAGGCAAAGACAGAGACTGCAGGAGCAGTTGGAGTTACAGGTGTGTGTGTGTGTGTGTGTGTGTGTGTGTGTGTGTGCGTGTATGGTTAGAGAGATAGAGACAGAGAGACAGAGAGAGATTATTTATTTACTATTAGTAATGTAAAAGAGTACCACAGTAGAAGTACCAGAAGCAGATGCATAGGCTGAAAGTGATTTGTGTTGGTGTGTACGTGCGTGTGTGTGTGTGCATTTTGTCAAATCTGAGGATTTGCAGAAAATAAGGAGTGACTCTCATGATCATTTTTTAAATTGACTGACATCTGTCCAAAACACAGCTTGGTCCTGTGCAAATTACAAATTATTACTTAAGGCAGGGAAGTTATCAATGATATGTCCCTAAATTCTTGCAGGATGAGCAAATGCTTTTCTACTTATCTCAGTAATAGTAAATAGTTAAAGTAGTCCCATGGCCTCCTTAGCAACATCATGTGAGGACAGATTCTCTCTTTAAAAAAAAAAATGTGGGCTACATCATGTGAACCTGACATTTGAGCCTGCTGTGACCACTTTTTTTCGCGACACTGTCCAACAAGACTACCGAACTAATATAATTAGTAAGATCAGTTGACCACTTTTCTCCTCTCAATGGGTGGTGGAATTTTAAACAGAATGGGCTGTATTTTTTGCTACGTGGTTGGTCGGGGGGTGCTCTCGTGAGGTCTTCTCCTTCTTTTCTGTCAAACATTTATCTTCCTTTTCTCTCCCTTCTTTTTTGTGTTTGTTACTCTCTTGTAACACCTCTAATCTTTGGCACTTATATGACCTAATTGTGTTACAAGTGCAGTGAACCTCTAAATACTAAAAAAAATATAACTCTGGCCAAAGAGCACTCACTATCTATCCTTTTATCGATACTGGGCAGGCCTACTTTTCACGATGGCAATGTTTTATCTACCGACAATTATACCTCTTATACCTTCCCTGTTACCTCCCTTGATTTTTTTTCAGTGTTATTCTCTTATTTCTTGTCAGTTTATTCGAATTGCAGATGTGTCGAACATATAACATGATTTTGTCCATCCAGGATGGGTTCGAGATATCCCAGCTGGACCATGTGTTGTTCAAATTGTATTATTGAACTTGAACCAATCTCTCTATCAACTTATTTAAAATAAGGCTAAGAATAATAAGGTGCTGAGGACTAAAGAGACAACCCGAACACCTGTAGGCGCCTACTTAGACTGAAATATTAATAAGACCTTTCTGGTTTTATTCAAATGTTTAACTTGCACCTGTAGAGGAGGCACACACACGCCCCCTCCCCCACCCCTTTTTCTTGCTGTGCCAAGGGAGGTAACCACTAATATGTTAACTTTTTGTGGTACCCTTGATGGTGTCCCTTTTAAATTCACACTGTGGGATGAGCTCAGAACAAACTTGTCTATATAATGATCAGAAATGTATTGTTAGATGCTAATCATTTTCCTTTCGTGAAAACCGTTTGTTCAGTCAGGCGCAGTTACATGAACCCAGAAAACAATTTGTCATTCCCTGACTGAAATTGAATGGCTACACTCTCTTTGTATTGGTTATACTTTTTTTCTCAAACACTCGTAGATAATATGAGGAACCCATTCTGATGTGGAACAGCTTGTCTCGAATAACCAGATCAAATTTTTATGAAAAGTGACTTCACTTTATTATTTTCTTCTGTAGCTCTTTAGCACCTCTGGTTTAATGTATTTTTCGTACAAATGTAGCAAGTTGGCTCCTCCGGTATTTAATGTTTCTTTCGTACGAATGTAGTTAGTTGGCATCTCTGATATTTTAAAATGTTTCTTTCGTAGCCAATTGGCTCCTCTGGTATTTATGATATTTCTTTCATAACTAGTTAGCACCTCAGATATTTTTCTGTTTTGTGTTCATCCCCAGGAGAAACAGCGTGAGTTATACCAAAAGGAACTAATGGAGATAGAGCAGAAGGCTCAGCGAGCCATGGGAGAAGACCTGGAGGACAACCGACTGCAGGAGGAGTTCTTGCTGTCACAGTCAGAGATCCCGCCCCTAGTGCCGGGGGCTGTGACCACACCACCCGTGACGTCTGCCGGCGGTGTCGGTGGGGGTGAGTAGTTTTAGAGTTCAGTTGTTTAGTTGGTGAATTAGAGTTTAGTTGTTTAGTTGGTGAATTATAGAGTTTAGTTGTTTAGTTGGTGAATTACAGTTTAGTTGTTTAGTTGGTGAATTAGAGTTTATAGTTGTTTAGTTGGTGAATTAGAGTTTAGTTGTTTAGTTGGTGAATTAGAGTTTTAAGTGTTTTTGCTGTGATGCCGAACAAGGAGTACACAAGTTCGCATCTGTCTGTTCTATCCTTGTCAATACCATTATTTTTACTGAATTACTTTCCGTGATGGTAGTGTTTTATCTTTTAACTATTATTCTACCTTCCTAGTTTCTTCCCTAAATTTGTGTTCTGTTGGTTGGAGGTGGGGAGGGTAACAATGGAAGGGATGATATTATGGGCCGTTTGCCACTGTACCCTAGCAGATGGTTGGAGGGCGCCACTGGGTGGTGATAGGTCCTACTTCTTTGTGTTCCCTGTGTTGTTTCTGTCTCTCTCATCTGTCTTGCGTCTTCCCTTTCACCGTTATTGTGCCGATGTGCTTCTCTTTATTTTACTAACTGGCCCCATATTATATTTAATGATGGTAGATGTTTTAGTATTTGTAATTGTAATTGTCAATTACTTATTTACGTCTGAATCCTCACATTGAAAAGATTGTAACATGGATCTGCTGGAAAGCCCAAAATAAAAAAAAATAAAGCCAATTTTTGCAAAATGTGGCATCCGTGTTAACTGAACACCGTCGACATGTAGTTGTGCTGATCTGAGCCATCATAACCCACACTTCATCGACTATGTGGTGTATATGGGCTGTCTGTTACTGTCACTGTGTACAAATGCCAGTGACCGTTTCGTTTGTGTATTATTATGTGATTGTATGAACCATCCTTTAGTTAGCCAACTTCCAATACATGGCAATGGCAGCTATACATTGACATTAAATGTCCGTTATTATACCACCCATTCTACCTATCTACATACATCCACATTGTGTGTTGTTGAGGTTCATGAGTTGTCTGTGTAATGCCAATGGAAGTCCGGCATATGGCATTGGCCGTGCATGCATCATGTATTATGATCGTTTCATAATTTTAACTTGTGCAGTGTATGTGTTTATCTGTTCGTTGTATGGAAACATCACCTTTACAGTACAAAATGAGTTGTTATGTACCATGCGTTACTTAACCCTCATACATACTTCATACCAACATTTTGTGTGTGTTACTGAACATTGAGGCCGTTATTTATATTTATTTGACAACATGTGCTGTGTCTGTATTTATCCGTCCGTTACAGTTGCTGTGTAAAAATCTTATGTTACAAGCCTAAAGTATGTAGCATTCAATTTAAGGCAACAACTGTATGATGTATGTGGATATGGGCCGCACTGAGTCTCTGCAGCACCAAGCAAATCTCCACAGGTATTATCTAGTCACATTGAGTGACAAAGCTGTCTGCACTAGACTGTATATAGCTCAGAAGTTCAACATGTTATGTTGTGTCAAAGAAGCATTGAAAGCTGTTGTCAGTTAAGACCGATATATATATATATATATATATATACATATATACATACACATATGTATATGAATAAACGTCGCCTAGAATAGCTTCTTCGTTAGTTGGAGGTGAGGATGGTTGATATGATTAATAATAATATAAAGTGCCATTTGTCGCCGTACTCTTGCCTGGCGGATGGTTTGAACATGCCACCGGCTGTCACAGTGGTAGTGGTTGGTCATACTTCTTTTCTCTGTGTGTGTTGTTGTCTCTAATGTGTAGTATGTCTTGCTTCTTCCTTTCGACCGTTATTGTGCAAATGTAGCCATTATATTTGACTTTGATAATGGTACTAGTACTAATACTTGTAATCCTGGGGTGGATGATGGATGGCCCTGGTTTGAATCCAGGATCGGGCTGTTTTGTGTTTTCAAGGCAAGGCTTTTCACTCAGCCTATTTGGCTCTGTCCTATCCTGTCCTATCGGAAATGGGCGTCGATTTCAGAGACTTTTAGTGTTGGTTGGGACGTTAAAACCAAACAGTACTTCCTTCTGCTCATATTTTCTTGGTGTATTCTTTAGTTTTAGTGAACGTTTTACGGCACTTGCAGCACGATTAGGTCATATAAGTACCGGAGATTAGAGGTGTTACAAGAGAATAACAAACATAAAAAGGAAGAGATAGTGACGATAGTTATTAGGAAAGAAGGAGCAAACCACACCAGAGCACCCGCCAATCACCCACTTGGTGTAGTCTTGTCGAATTATATTGTTGGGCCGAGACGGAACAAATCTACAAATATTAACATGCCAATTTATGATGAAGGAAAACATGACAGGATAAGAAAGGTGGGGGATGGGGATTGAACAGCATACGAAAGGTAATTGAGAAAGGCGAGAGGGGGTAAGAGGTGAAATTTGTGAGGAAGAAAGCGGGGGTACATCAAGAGTAGGAATAGCTAGGCGTAATAATGACTGAAGAGGAATAACGTTCATAATATTAAGCCAGTCTTTATTGCAATCAACATATTAACAGATGAGAATGTACACGAACTGTCTCTTATAGGGTACAACAAAACAAATGCGAAGGTACAGTATAGGTCTGAGAAGTTCTTTAGAACAAGCCCCATGAAGTTGACACAAAAACTCGAGAACATGTGCATTAACAATACATTAAATAGGCTACATATTGCAAGAGATGGACAATGTGTCAAACAGTATGTATATGTAAATTATTATCATTAGCCCAAAGAGCAAACAAGATACTTGTACATCATAATCATACATTATCGTTGGCAAGCTGTTGCAATGTACTAAGCCCAGAAAGCAACAGGAGGGAAAATGGTTGGTTTTTACAATTATACCTAAATTATGTATTTTTTTCTTGCTTTTTGCAATGTCTACCAAATAATCCCCGTTTGACACTACACCCCCGCCCCCGAGCACATGCAAACGATACCACAAATTAGAAAGAACTGCAAGGATTTAAAAAAATGTTGGGCTTGGTTAACTGTAGTACTTTAGTACATGTGAACAACTGGCCCACGATATTATTGTCATGAGAACAAAGAGTACACCAGTCAAACAAATAATAAACATAATGCGTACAAAAATAGTGTTCTGCATCTCATTATCAGTACGAGTATCCCAGCCTGCGAATTGTACATGGTAAAAAAAAATTGGAACCATAGCATAGAACTGGAATATTGTGCAAACTATATGATCTCATTCATAAGTACATGGTCTCTCTGTGGGTATCTTTAGTTCTGTGTCTACCTGTACCTTAGCGGAGACAAAGCAAGAGGACCGAGTCACGCCCGGCTGACAGGGGGGACGGTACATCACGCTCCCCCTTATCACCCACCGACCGCTACCCTGTGACTGGTTCTCTCGCTATGTCTCGCCTTTAACCCAAAATAGCTTCGTTAGAGGTGGGGAGGGCTATGATATATAACCCCCCGCCCCTAAAAATAAAACCAATAAATAAAAACCGTATAAATAAATACATATTGATAAATATTTTAAAAAACGTATAAAATCTGCCACCCTCTCATGCCCTATTTAGTCTACCTCTACCACACTTCCTAATTACACGACAGGGACGACTGACATAGCCAGATAACTGTGGTCCCGGGTGAGAAAGTGGTCGGGGCGAGAGAAAGAGATGCCCCGCCCATTTTCCCAGCACACCCACCCCTACCCTGTACAGTTATCTGGCTTTGTCATTATCACTGCCATGTCCTGCTCTACTCTACCCTTAACACCCCCCCCCCCCAAAAACAACCCAAAACAAACAACAACCCCAAAACTAAACCTAACAAAAAAAGAAAACAACTATCCTAATCCTAGCCCACTATAACCCCCCCAAAAAAAAACAACAACCACCCAATCCCACTACTTTTTATCCCAAACGCCCCCATTCTAACTGTGGTGTATCATCTTCCTGACCTAAATAACCCCAAAACCCACTATTGCTACCCCTTTCTACCCTTTGTTTTGTTTTTTGCTTTTGTATTTTTTTGGTATTTGTCTGTTTTAATTTTTTTGGTCTTTGTGTGCCTTTTGTGTTTTTTTGTTGCTTTTTAAGATATTTTATTATTTTTTTGGTCTTTTTAAATTTATTTTTTTTTTGTTGTTTACATTTTGTTATCGAGTTCACCGGTATCAAACTGTATCAAATTTTTCTTGGTGCCATTTTGTTTTTAGATTTTTTTTCTTACTTTTAAAATCTTTTGTTAGACAGTAGGACTAGAGAAGGGTGCTCCAGGGGAGGGAATGTGGATCAGTGGTGGTGTTGATCGGTGTCCCACCACGCCCACTCCCACAGCCCGATGCACCGCCCTCCAGCCCCCCCACCCCACCCTCTTCTACCACCACCCCCCTCTTCCTCCACCATGGCGTGGCACAACAGGACCGGGGCGGGGCGACGGTGAGGACCCAGTGGGCGGGGCACAGTGACGTGAGAGGCTCCACCTCTCCTCGTCACCACGCCTATCGGGTCTCGTTCACCACGCCCCATCGGCCTCACAAAGACACGCATGCAGCTGCTGTGTCGTCTGGAGAGAAAAAAAAGTTCGCCTCTCTTCTGCTCCTGCTTCACAGCAACGCTGTCACGTGTCTATGTGT